TTGGACCCCTTTGCTCGCTAAGACTGAATGCCAGGGGACTCCCCCTATTAGTCCCCTGAACAATTCAAAGTCCGCCCTCCTGAAGTCCAAGGTAGCAGTATTACTATTCCCCCTCCAGGCTCCACTGTGAATCACGAAGTCTATCATTTCATGATCACTCTGTCCAAGACAGCCTCCAACCTCCACATCTCCCACCAAACCTTCCCTGTTTGTGAACAGCAGGTCTAGTGGGGCAGTTCCTCTCGTGGGCTCTCTGACCAGCTGTATCAGGAAGTTGTCCTCTACGCATTCCAGAAACCTCCTAGACTGCTTCCTCTGTGCTGTGCTGTACTCCCAGCATACGTCAGGGAAGTTAAAGTCCCCCATGAGGACAAGGGCAGGCGACTGTGCAGCTTGTGCCAGCTGCTTATAGAATACCTCGTCTGTTTCTTCATCTTGATTTGGGGGTCTATAACAGACGCCCACCAGGGTGCCTGTCTTGTCAGCCCTTCCTCTGATCTTTACCCATAGGGATTCAACGTTATCGTCCCCAGTCATAATCTCAGTAGCGTAAAAGCATTCCCTAACATAGAGAGCTACACCTCCACCCCGCCTTCCTTGCCTATCTTTCCTGAAGAGTTTATAGCCATCCATTGCAGCACTCCAATCGTGGGAGCAATCCCACCACGTTTCCGTTATGGCAACTAGGTCATAGTTTGCCTGCTGCACAATGGCTTCCAACTCTTCTTGTTTGTTGCCCATGCTGCGTGCATTAGTGTAGATGCACCTCAGCTGAGCCCCTCGCCTCTCACCTAATCCCACTACCACTTCCCCAGGCTGCTCTCTAGCAGGCCTGGCTTTATCCCCCTCCCCCTTCCTATCTAGTTTAAAGCCTCCTCTACAAGTCCCGCCAGCTCCTGGGCAAGTATCCATCTCCCTTTTGGAGACAAGCAATTCCCATCAGCAGATCATAGATAATGGGGTAGAATGTACTCTCAGCAAATTTGCTGATGACACCAAGCTGAGAGGTGTGGTTGATACAGCAGAAGGAGGGGGTGCCACCCAGAAGGACCTTGATAAACTCAAAAGTGGGCCCTTGTGAATCTAATGAGGTTCAATATAGTGCAAGGTTTTGCACTTGGGTTGAGGAAATCCCAGATATATATACAAACTAGGAAAAGAACTCCTTGAGACCAGTTGAGAAGGACTTGTGGGGATCTGGTTGGTGAAAAACTTTACATGAGCCAGCAGTGTGAGCTTTAGCCTGGAAGGCCAATGGTGTTCTGCATCAGAAGAGGGCTGGCCAACAGAATAAGGAATGTGATTGTCTCACTCTACTCTAACCTCACGAGGCCCCAGGCAGAGTACTGTATCTACGTCTAGATCCCCCAACACATGAAAGATCTGGAGCTTTTGGTGTGGGTCCAGAAGAGGGCCTTGAAGGTGATCCGAGTGCTGGAGCTGAAGGAACTGGGCTTGTTCAGCCTGGAAAAGAAAAGGCTGGGGGAAGAACTTGTTGCAGTCTTCTGGAATTTAAAGGGAGTATATAAACATGACGAAAATCAGCATTTATGTGGGTAGATAGTGATAGGGAGAGAGAATGGTTTTAAATGAAAGGAGGGGTTATTTAGATTAGATGTGAAGAAAGAAGATTTTTGCTCAGAGAGTGGTGAGGTGTTGGAGTAGTTTAAGGCCAGAGTGGATGGAGCCCTGGGCAATCTGATCTAGTGCTTCACTTAGTGGTTGGTGGCCCTACCTGTGACAGAGGATTGGAAGTTGATGATCCTTGAGGTCCCTTTCAATCCAAGCCGTAGTTAGTGCACTTATTTGTGCATATTACATTTTAATGAAAATGTATTAATAAATTTTGCCAAGAGTTATTGGTCACTTGAGAACTTGTATTCCATCTTCTCTAAGGTTTTACTGAATTTTTTATTTTAATTTCTGTTATGTATGACAGGAAATACCTGGTCAACATGCTTGAAAATCAGGTAATTCTCTGCATGGCTAAGCCACGGAACTAAGACATTATTTTAAACATCCTTTAAAAAAACAAGCAAACAAACAAAGAACTTCAGCATGTTGTGTATATGTGCATAACAGTGCTGGACTCAAATAGTTGCATTCAGTCAGTATTGAATGCTTGTGTTCCATTGCTCACTCTGCTGATTCAAAACTCTTAATAGTTTCCTGGTGTTTCTTACTAATGTTTATTCAGTTGTACTCAGTAGAATCTAATCCAGCAGTCATAGCTGATAATAAAGTTACATTAATTCTGTAATTGTGCAACACAAAGTCATAAAAATCAGAGGAGGAAAAAGGACAAACCAAGTATATTTCAAAACATTTCAACATTCTTCAACTTTATCCATCTTTCTTGATTGTCTTCATCCAATCTTTTTTGCAGAAGTCGAAAGTGAAATAGCAGATGTCGCTTTCATTTTGGAATCAACTATAAGCCTACTTTTCTTTTAAACACAGCACATGGCTATCAGCAGTGGACAAAGGATTGTGGCTTCTATTCAGTTAGTGTGGATTTATGCATATTTTTTGATGTTACCTTCTGATTGACATCTTTTATAATGCTAAGATCAGTGGTAGTATGAAAAATGTCATGTATGATACTTCTGGTTAATTGCATGTGATTCTGATTATCTCTTTTGTTGTGCTGTGTATATCACTGTTTCTTGAATGCATCATTAGTGTCTGCTTTGCTGCTCAGTTTATGTGCTGTTTGTTTCAAAAGATTATGTTCTTTTAACTTAGCCAGACCAGTTGGGATGCATTTTATCCTATGATGTTGAGAGTAGCCATAAATACCAGCTATGGAAGAGAAGATCTGGCCTTCAGGAGAAATAGGAAGCATGCAGAACAAGAGGATGAATTCAAGACTCTGATAGTGTTTGAAAAGGCTTCCTCTTTTCTATCAGGCACCTCTCTTTACTCTGTTTGAAATACCCATATGCATAGTAACCATCTTGCTATACAGTATCTTTATGATTTACTATATCATTTTGGGAAAAACTTCATTCTCTTAAAAATATGTTGTATCTTGACTATCTCATCCTCTAAGGTACTTAGTACCTTAGAGTACTCACAGACTTCTGTTCGAATGCTGTAGGTTACCATTGGTACTCCCATCAGACCTACAGAAAGGCTGCTGTTTAGGAATCATTATTAAACAAAATGGCTTACTTAGACTCTTAAATGTTGTATTTTGACCACCCAAATGGTGTTCAGATGTGAAGATGTCAGATGAGAAAAAATGTACTTTCATCTGCTTTTATTTCTTCAGATGTTTCCTAGCTGCTGTAGCCCTTTAGGTATTAGAACTAAGAGGCCTGGTACAACCAGCTAATGACATTGCCAGGGTGAGTGTACTGATAGCATAATCCTGAGTGCAAACACATTGTTGAGTTACTACGGAGATAATGTGTCATCTTCAGTTACTCGTCAGTGAGTCTTTGGCAGGCTGACAAGAGGTCACTGCAGTTTCTGTGAGAGCTCTGTATTTCAGAGTAGGTTGGAGAATTATAAGAGCAGTGGCAGGAAGTTAAGTACAGAGAAATCCTCTCATTGCTGTTATGTATTTGCAAAAGAGTATTTAGTAGTAATGTTAATTAATATGATTAATATTATTCTGATACAAGAAATTTTGAAGGGGTTGTTTATAGATACTGGAAGACGTGATTTATTCTTCACTGTGGAAAACAATTTTTTTTTTTAATATATATTGCCTTTGGTTCGATGAAGAGGCTTTCATTAAATTGCTGTCTTGACAGCTTAATGAGAAATTAATCTCTTCCATATGCTCTGTATCATGAGCCATAGCTAGTAAGGTACTGAACCGCCTGCCTAATAAGTGGAAGCACAAGAGAAAAGCTTTACAGTAGGAAGTTCCATGTTGTTGAATCATATACTTTTAGATTTCGTATTTAAAACAGCATAACCATATTTCTGTCCACAATTTATTTTAATGAAAGATAGCAAGTGTGAAAACAGAGGAAATACAAAGCGTTTGGGACAAAAATAGTTTATTTTGATCTCCAAAATTCCTTTCGTCATGCTTCTTCTAACCTTCACTGTCATACCAGGTCCTCTCCCAAGTGACTCAGGAGTGATGTGAGGTCATTGCCTTCTGTTTTCTTGGGGTGTCTGGCGTTTGCAGTCTAAAAATAACTGCTCTCCTTGTACTAACAAAATGTTGTACTTACAAATGTTGCACATCAGAAGTTTGCCAAGCCTGAACTGCTTACCTTCCAAGATCATATGTGTTCAGTTTAAGATGGTGGAAGCAGGCAGGGACTGAATGCCATAGCAATATAAAAAGCAGAATTAGGCATATCTGCACACCATAATACAGCTGCTATTACAACAGGTGCAGTTTTGACACTCCTTAAAAGAAGAATGAGTCTCAGAGGCAAAATGCATTGCTTGGTATGAGGGACTAACTGGAGTGAATAATGCTCCAAACTCATTTATTTGTCCATGATCTGAAATGACATCCAAATACATCTGCAATGGAATAAAAGGAGTGGTTTGTGATGATATAGTGTTACAAGCAATGTCCTTCTAAACTTCAAGGTAAAGAGTGCTAAGATGTCCTTGTTGCTGTGTTCAAATGCAAAGATTTTCTTTTGAGGCAATAATGACATTTCTATAATTGTGAGAATGAATGCTTCATTATAAGTGATAGACCCCCCTATAACAAGATTCACTGTTTCTGAGTGTCAGGGCTCCCATGAAGTCACTGGCACTACTCATATATAAGTTACACTGTGACATTGCAGGTGACAGTGAGCCCTTGTTCCACTTATTAGTCTTCTGTTTGCATCCCATGTAGACCCCAAAATGAGAAAAACAGTAGCTTTTTAATACAGTGTGGTGAGATAAGGGTTTACTGCTCAGAAGAAAGCTGATTATCTTGTCCTGCCATTGCAACCTGTGTATTGTTTTTGCTGTGTCTTTTTATTTTCCTTTTTAGTACAAATGTTACATTTCTATTAAAATTTCGATTTCAGGGTAAAATGGTGAAGGGAATGGGAGGTGCCATGGACCTGGTATCTAGTGCCCAGACAAAAGTGGTTGTCACCATGGAGCACTCAGCCAAGGTAAGGCTGTGTCTTCTATGTGACTCACTCGTGCTAGAAAAACAAAACAAACATTTTACATTAATTCTGTCACTTCGTAAGGATTTTGCAGATTTATTACTAGTTACAATTGTACTTCTTGGCCTCATGAAAGTTAATTGTTTATCATGGAAAAAATTAAATATTAATTTGATATTTAAAAGCTGCATACTTTTTTCGTTGCTTGTGCAAACTTAATGAGAGTTACAATTGGCAGAGCTACGGTAGATGCTACCCTGAAGATTTTACTCTTCACATCAGAATAATTTGGGAAATGAGGTTCCCAATGGCTCAATATTTGTTGTGTTGGGAAAATATTTACCTTTGAAGCTATCAGTCAAATTGGTACTGACAGCTTGATAAAACAGATCTTTTTGGCATGATACTATGCAGGTTGCCTTACTTGTTTTACTGTTATGTGGTAGAGGTTAATCTAGAGACCTCGTTGTAGAGATAGGTTTGTAGATATAGACAGTGTTCCACAGAGGATCATAGAAAGCTTTAAAAATTTAAAAAATTGTACAGTTTTAGCTATGAGAAAAGCTGTTTGAAGGACAGCATCTTTAGTCCCAAGGAACTATAACAAATGCTTAAAAATGACTTTCTATTTCATTTTTTTTTGTTTCTGTTATTCATAATTTGTTGGTGTAGACACCAAAGCCTCCTGTAAATCAGTGCAAGTCAAGAGGTTATTTGAAGTATTTAAGTCAAGAGGTTAGTTCTGTATGTTCAAGATTAATATCTCTGCCAGTATATGTAGGGGTAAGCATAAGGAATTTGCCTGGCAGTAAATATGAAAGATAAATATATTAATAGTTGTGGAGTTCTTTTAAATGTGATTTCAGGAATGAATCTTCACTTTCTATATTTTTCAACAAGTTGGGGTTTTGTTGTTGTTTTCTGATTTGGTTTTTATAGAAGCTGTGATTTCTAGTAGTGCATTGTAAGTAACAGAACTGGGACTGACCCAGTGGTTCTTGTATGCATATGTGTAAATAAATCATCAAAAGAGCAAAGCAAATTTGTCTGACTTGCATCCCTATCACAGCCCCACAACAACTGGGTGTCTGAGTATCCCTTCACTTATGTACATATTTCAGATAAGTAGGCCAGGCATAGCTTTTATAGCTTTTTTTTTTTTCTTTTTTTTTTTTTTTTTCTTTTTCTGACATACATCTGTATAACTTGGATTTTTATATATATGAGGTTCCTGGTATGTACTTCTAGAAAGCCTGTTTCAGGCTTTACGGGCTTCCATAACTTACATATTTACTTTTGTAGGAATATACTGCACAGTGAATCCAAGTATATGGGGTTTTTTATTTATTCTTATTTTACAATGGAGGGCTCTTTCATCCTAACTATACAACTGCACTCTTTTGGGGCTGCTGCTTCTTTGCCCAAAAATGAAGGTAAAGTATAGAAGTTGAATGTGAAAAATAAAAGCAAAACCATCTATAGCTTCTGTTATATGTTTTAGATGTTTTTTTGTTTGTTTGTTTCTTTGTTTGTTTTTAAGTAGGTATTAGTGAGAAAATGTGGAAGAGTGATGCCCAAGCAATTGTATGACCTATAATGCCAGTTCTGAAAGTCAGAAGCCTTTATTTGGGGTGACTTTTACAGAGCTGATTTTTTTTTTCTTTAGCATGAAGATTTTCTCACAAATTGTAATTTCAACCATACCTAAGCATTAGATGAGCCCTCTTTCCTCTTCCCAAGAGTCGGGTGGGCTACTGAGCAAAAGAAATGCATGCCTGTATTGTTGGAATCTGTTCTATCTGCAGGCTTCTTTGATTAGGGACATTGTTGTTGTATTACTCTCCAAATAAATAACAAGAAATTTATCACTAGACATTAAAGCCTCCAGTAAATAAATGTGAGTCAAGGTCTGATGGACTGAAAGACAGTGGAAAGCCACAGGATATATGCAATAATAAATAGTTGTAGTAGTTAGTTTTGTTTTATCTGTCATCTTGTAATGGATCTTTCAATTCTTTTCAAGTGTTGTTTTTTCTCTTTTTGTACTTCTTGGTGTTTGTTTGTTTGTTTGTTTTATATATAATAGCGACAGCTTGTTAAACATTGCTCAGAATATATCCTGAGTATGCATGTTGCAGTTTTCAAATTTAGCAATAGGCTGAATCCAGTGCAGACAAAATACAATTAACACTAAATTATGAGGGTGAAACTGGTATCTCTCTTCACACTCAAGGAACCACCCAAGTAATTTATTCTGATATGCAATATATTAAGAATAATAATGAACATCCTTTGCTCCCAAGTATTTTAATTTTTGATAACTTAAATATTTACATTTCATGAAAGCTGAAAGATACAGAAGAAAAATGACAGGACTTAAATGACATGTAGAAAAATTCAGAGTAAGAAATATCAGTGAGACAGAGTAGAAATATGAGGGATAATGAAGGTACAGATGCAGTATGGCTAGTCACTGCCTTATTGGAAAAAGAAAAAAAATGGGGGGTAGACAACTGAAACTATAGAAACTAGCAACCAGCAGGTTTGAAACAAGAAGTATTTTTCAGAGTCAGCTAATGAAATTGTGGATCTTTAGCAGAATGTTATAGGAGCTCAAAGCATTACACCCATATGAAAGGGATTAAACTATTTTATGAGTTTGCCAGTGACAATTAAATAGCGTTGCCCAGAAGCAGTCGCTAGCCTAGAAAGCCTAACCATCACAGCGTGTCATGAACCAGGAGGGAATAGCTGATGAAGGTTGGCTCAATTTTTCCTCTATCTGTTTAGGCCACTGCAAGACACTTGGATGATGGATTCAGTTTAATTTACTATGATAGCTCTTGGTGTATTTTTTGTGAAATTGATTTTTGGTTAACTGTAAAGACCAAAATATAGTGTTGTTATTTAATCTTTGAACAGTCACTGTGCACCTGTGCCCAGTCTGGTAAATACTGCCTAGAAGATATAGAAGTCCTTACATCCACACTGTTATCGATGTACTTTGCAAAATAGCATAAAGTGCTGGTCACTTTCAGATGGCTTTATGACTTTCAGGTGGCATAATGACTTGACTACACAACTAAAACAGTATAATGGAAACTATTTTTAAGCGTGTGCTTTAGTCATGACTGAAACACGGGGCACTGATTTTCCATCATTGTGATTAGTTTTTGTTTTGATATGTTGTACAAAACTATGGTATTTTTTGTCCATAAAAGTGTCCATTAAAAATGCAGCAGAATTTTTGAGGACTGCTCCAAAATTAATGCCTCCTATTTTATTATGTTGGCACACAACGTCAGAGCTGGGTGATGGCAGTAGAGATCAAACCTTCCCACCAGTATCCCATTCCATTTTGTTGCTGCGTGACAGATGGCAGCAGAGGGGCAGTCTAACAGAATGGCATCTGACATGGAAGTGTGTATGAAGCAAAGGTGTGGCAGTGAATTCCTCCATGCAGAAAAAAATGGCACCACCAGCATTCATCAACACTTGCTGAATGTTTCTGGAGACTAAACTGTGGATGGGAGCACAGTGAGGCAGTGGGTGATGTGTTTCAGCAGTGACGTGAAAGAAGCTGTGTTCTGTATGGCCATACTGATTTTTAGAAGAGTGGCATGCAAGTTCTTGTTCATTATCCAGCGAAAATGCATAGCTAACGATGGTGACTATGATGAAGAAGTGTGTTTTGTAGCTATTCTTCATGTCTGTTGTAGTTACCGTGGAAATAAACAGGAGGCATTACTTTCCCAGCAACTTACGTATTTAAAGCAGAATGAAACAGCCTAAGGTTGTGGAGATCTACACAACAGACTTTTCTTCCTTTATCTGAACAAATACTGTATAAATTCAGATAGTAAAAATTCTTGCAATTCCACTTGGATTCCCATACTGATAATGCCCTGATGGATGAGTTCTGAAAGCCACTTTTCATGCTACAATAATGTTCATCTCAAATGTTAAGAAGCTGGAATGTATCACTTTTAAGGGTCATGGAAGCCACTCAAGCTGTCATCTCTGCAAGTCCATTTTGTTTTTACTCAGGAATAAAACTAAGACATATTTAATATGTAATATATAAATAATATATATTATTATTATCATATATAACATAAATATTTAACATATTAAGCCTTAAGGCAAATTGATGATTGCATTTTTAAAAAGTATTGCATTCACGTGGTTAAATGAGACATGCAATACTCCAAGAGTTTTGAAAGGCATAACTGGAAATTGATAGAGGAAAAACAAACAAAAAAACCCTCAGACCTAAGCACCTAAGCCTTATACATCCAGCTTTGTGTCAGTAGCTATGCCTTTTCAGTAGGCAGTATTTTACCCACTATCTAAAGTAGCTACCTTTTGATATCTAGGAAGGGAAGCATCTTAAAGCAAGTCCTGATCTCTTTATACGCATTACTTTGTACTGTATTTATAGGCTGATTGGTACTGACAAAAGTAAAGGCAGTGTAGCTTCTCTTATAGTACTTGAAGATGAGCATATCTTGCTCATGTCCTAGTCTGCTTCTGTGCTTTTCTAGAGTGACAGAGGAGAAGGAAATGGAATGTGGGTAAAGAAACTGGCCTTACTATTTTCAAAGCATGAGTATGCACGTGAGCCATAGGGGTTCAAAATGCCTATGAGTATGGCTGGTCCTGCACATATCGCTTATAATAAATGAGGCAGAGTAATGTTATGTTCACAATGTCATTCTCTAACCTTTACATGTCATCAATAAGGTCCCATGTGTGACTTATCCTCACACTGCAGTAGAAGAGGAAATTATTGAACTTCTAAACTCAGGAGCCGCTGAGTGGTACACTGAGAATCTTATTAGACATCTCATTATAGTCGGGGCTTCAGTTAGAACTGTCCCAAGTTGTCAGCATTGTAATCTGCCATGAAAGTGAGTTCAGATAATGTTCTGAGTGCAGTGAATGTTTCAATAACACTGAACGCTTGCAGCTGTGGTTTTCCTTTTTAATGTACATACTTGAATTCAGAGAAAGTTGCACTGTTTTTTAAAATTAACATTTGTTTGTATACTGTTAAACGCAGGGCAACGTCCATAAAATCTTGGAAAAGTGCAGTTTACCACTTACTGGGAAGCAATGTGTAAATCGCATCATTACAGAGAAGGTAAAGTTCTTTTCTTGAATTCTTTTCAATTCTTTTCTCCTCTCAGTGACACTAAGTGAAAGCAGTAAAAAGTGTGGTAAAAATAAAGAATATATTCAGTATCTGTTGCTTGTGAAGGACAAAGACTCCTTTTGAGTTCAATTCCAGAGACACGTTGGCTCATATTTTCCTTTTAAATCTTTCACTGTTGACATCATGCTGGATGGTTATCACAGTGACCATCAGAACAGAGATGCTATCCATGAGAAATATGCAAGGAACATGTTTGGTTATTTTTTCCAAAGTATACCTGAAAACTTGCCTCATAAGATGCAAATCATGAAATGCACGTTTTCCTCAAATGTTCACGTCAGGTAACTGGCATCTTTCTTGATATATATTACAAACTTAGACACATGATCTGTCCTGTTGCTATCTTTTGCTTTCACTTGATTGCATTTGTGAAGTGATTTACTGTCCAGTGCAAGTCTGTTTGATATTGCCAGTGTTCAAAGTGCATTAGTGGATCTTTTCAGCAGCGTACGTGACTTAGGATTTCTGCTGTAATCATGTTCCTTTTATTATCAATGTGTACATTTTTAAAGGCTTTGAGTAATCCCTCTGTGAGCCATCTGTCACACTAAGTAGAATGCTTCAAAAGTGCTGATGCAGAATTTGTTTTCTCTCAGTGGTGTATTGCTACTGTCATTTAAAGTTTTCTTCTACAAACAAAGGGAGAAGAAATGAAAATGTGGATGTTTTTCTGTAGAAAACTGGCATTGAACAAGGACTGACAAATAAAAATATGCAGAAAATTTCTGAGCCTCAGTGCTCATCAGGTCTCGCTGTTTAATGAAGGATGACACAAATGTACAACACTATTTAGATTGTATTATAGACTGTTTCATCGCTAGCTTCCTAGTGTCTGTTTTCCTTAAATTCAGCTTTTCTTTTAAGACTCAGAAGTACAATTTCAGTCCCATAGTATTCATGAAATCCTTTGGATTAGAAGGGACCTTAAAGACCACCTAGTTCCAACCCTCTTGCCATGGACAGGGATACCTTCCATTGGAATAAGCTGCAGAAAGCCCCATCCAACTTTTCCTTGTACACTTCCAGGGAAGGCACATCCACAGTTCCTGTAGGCAAGCTGTTCCAGTGCTTCAACAGTACTCATAGCTGAGAATTTTGTCCTAATATCTAATCTAAATCTACCTTTTTGTTAGTTTAATGACACTAAACCTTGTGCTATCACTCCACTTTGTGACAGCCCTTTGGTGTAATGGAAGGCTGCTATAAGGTTCATAGGTTTGGTGCTCCCACCTGCTGATCACCCTCATGGACCTCCAATGGACTTGCTCCAATCACCCCATGTCTTTCATGTGCTGGGGGGCCCAGACCTAAATTCAGTACTGTGGGTGGGTTCTCATAAGCCAGAGCAGAGGGTGACAATCATCTCCCTTGCCTTGCTGGTCACACCTCTTTTGATAAACCCAACATGCAACTGGTTTTCTGGGCAGCAGGTGTGTACTTCAGGCTCATGTTGTTTTTCATCTACCAGAAGCAGTGAAGTCCATCTCTGTAGGGCAGCTGTCTATCCACTCATCACCCTGCCAGTATTCATATTTGAGTTTGCCCCAGCCCAGGTGCAGGACCTTGCACTTGGCCTTGTTGAATCTCATTAGGTTCACATGGCCCACCCTGCATGCTTGTCAAGTTCCTCTGGGCGGCATTCCTTTCCTGCAGCATGTCAACCACATTACTTATCTTGATGTCATCTGAAAACTTGCTAAGGGTGCACTCCATCCTACTGTCCATTCCACTAGCAATGGTATTAAATGAATCCATTCCTAGTAATGACCCTGAGGAACACTGCGCTCTGGTACCATTTTCCTTCCAAGTTCAGTCTTCACTGGACTTTTGCTATTGGCTTTTTAAAATTTTATTTTATTTTAGGAAAATGAATGTAGACTTGGTGGTTTTTGTGGCAGCTAGCTTGCAACCTGTGTATTCTCTGGGCACCATTATAGTGTGTGTTGTTCTACAGGTGTTCTTACGTGCTTGAGAGGCTTCAAAGTGGAAAGCTTGTCTTAGGAAGGCATCAGGGAAAAGGCTCCTTCAGCTACATCACCTGAGGATTCATTTTAAAAATAGAACAAGAAAATTTCTCTTTCTTAGCTAGCTTCAAAAATACTAAAATTTGTAATGTTTAATAGCTGTTGGAGGTGCTGATCATCTGATAAGTTGATCAGCCACCCTTTACCTCCCTATAGTCCTAAAAGCAAAACAAAAGAATGAGAAAGAGGATGGCTTTCCCTGTTTTCTTTCATTACCTCTTGGCGGACATTGTCTTGTAGCAAAGAATGTCTCAGCCATTTCCCTTGCATCTTGCATTTCTCACCACATCAGAGCAGGAGACACTGTCCTTATTTCATGCAGTGAAGAGCAGTTGCCCATTTTTTTCCCACAAAATCAACACATCTTACACTTCAGATTCTTTCAGGTATGAATAAATCTCTACTGGTCAGTCTGAAATGTGAAACCAGTTGATAATGGTATCATTTTTTACTGAAGAAATTCTTTTTAGCAAATTGATTTGTACGATATTACTACTTGGATCTTCAGTTTTTTAATAATAAAAATTAATTTGGTGCTATTTGAACCTGACAGGCCGTGTTTGATGTGGACAAGAAAAAGGGACTCACCCTTGTGGAAATCTGGGAAGGACTGTCAGTGGATGATATCAAGAAAAGCACTGGCTGTGACTTCACAGTAAGTCATTTTACAAACAAATACAGTTGTTCCTTTTACATTGCCTTGTCGTTAATCCATAAAGCCACTGATTTTTTACCTTTACATTCTTTCTTAAATATCATTTAATGTTAACACAAAACTGACTTACTAGTAGAAAGTACAGTGGAACGTAACTAATTCCATATGTGTGGTTGTCTCGCTCCAATTTATAGGAGGGAGAGGAGGTTCTTTTATTATCTATATACCCGGCGTGAGATTAAGAAGCAATGGTTCAAATGTTGGTCCAACCAGTTTATTACAAATCTTAATTAGGGAAATGGGGAAGGGGAGGACAGACACTATTATGAATTAGGGTAATGGGGAAGGGAAGGAAGGCGATAGAAAAGATAGGAAAGAAGAAGTAAGGAGACTTTGTAGGCGGCAAGAGGGAGATAGTCACCACCATGGATCCAGCGAGGTTCGTAGTTCAGTCTTTGATCTTCAGTAGCGGTGGGTCATCAGGCAGAGTTGTCCTGTTGCCAATGACGACGACAACCATGGTGATGATGGCCCTTTTTCAATGCTTCAAAGTGGTTGAGTCAGCTCTTTTTGGAGTGACAGCTCAAATCCAAAGTGGTGGAGTCAGCTCTCCTTTGAGTGACAGCTCAAACCCAAGGTGGTTGAGTCAGTTCTCCTTGCGGTGGCAGCTTCTGGCTCTGGGATCTCAGCAGGAACCTCCTTTGTTCTTATCTTTCTGGCCTTGCCAGCAGATAAGAGGAAGCAGGGAGGCACCAACTTGCATCTTGCCTTCGCAAGATACAATGGTATCATCCCCCAGCCTTCCATACTTAGCTGGAGCGGCACTCTCTTCCGCTCTTCTACAGAGCAAGCAGCTCTGGGGGAAGGGGCTTGCAAATGTTCCCAAAGCGATATCGATTGTCACACAGTTAGCACCCGTCAGCTGCCTCCTTGACAAGTCACTCAGAGTCTTATCACAAGAAAAACCTCAGGAAGCAAGCTTTGAGCCAAAAAAAAACTAAGAAGGATTCTCACAGTGGTCAATAACAAACGTAGTTTCTTCATGGCCTCATGCATTCATACGATAAAGCTTTTTCTTCTGTATTGTAAAGCTGGCGGAGAGGTCAGCTTTTTTTATTTTTTTTGTGAGGATTGTGAATTTGACAGTATACACTTGTCTTGTGAAGGTAATTGGGAATACTTGATAATGAAGGATAGCAATCTTCCTCTTTGCAGTTTCCAGACCTAGAGCACATGTTTACAAGATTGCTGATGTATTTAATTTGAGGATTAACTTTAGGTTGAATTTGAAGGGTGCTGTGTTTAGTAACCATATGCATAGAATGAAACCGTGGAGAATGACTTTGTTGTAAGGAGACACCAGCTCTTACATGTCTTTGTCTCACTCCAATTTATAGGAGGGAGAGGATGTTCTTTTAACATCTATATACCTGGTGTGAGATTAAGAAACAACAGTTCAAATGTTGGTCCAACCAGTTTATTACAAATCTTAATTAGGGAAATGGGGAAAGGGAGGACGGACACTATTATGAATTAGGGTAATGGGGAAGGGAAGGAGGGAGATAGGAAAGAAGAAGCGAGGAGTCTTTATAGGAAGCAAGAGATAGTCACCACCATGGATGCAGTGTGGTTCGTAGTTCAGTCTTTGATCTTCAGTAGTGGTGGGTCATTGGGCATTGTTCTGTTGATGACGACTAGGAGAACGAGCACTATGGCAATGATGGCCCCTTTTCAATGCTTTCAAAGTGGTCGCGACAGCTGTCTTTGGAGTGACAGCTCAAATCCAAAGTGGTCGAGTCAGCTCTCCTCGGAGTGGCAGCTTCTGACTCTGGGATCTCAGCAGAAACTCCTTTGTTCCCATCTTCCAGGCCTTGCAAGCAGATAAGCGGGAGCAGGGATGCCCATCTGCATCCTGTTTTTCACAGAACATGATGTTATCATTCCCCAGTTTTCCCATACCTAGCTGGAGCTGTATAGTCACAGGCCAGATCTTCCACCCGTAAACACTCCTGAGCACTCTCTTCCAGAGGCAAGCAGCTCTGGAAGAGGGGGCTTTCAAATATTCCCGAAGTGATGTCGATTGTCACACGGTTAGCACCCATCACTTGGCTCCTCAACAAATCAATCACAGTCTTACAAAAAGAAATACCTCAGGAAGCAAGCTTTGAGCCAAAAAAAAAAAACAAAGAAGGATTTTCACAGTCTTGAACCTGTTTTTTGGAAGGAGTTGGTTTCTTTTTGATTCAGAGGATCTATGTATGTATGTATGTATGTATGTATGTATGTATGTATGTATATGGGAGTTGGTATTACCGGAAGTAATTTCCAGCCTGTGCTGGAGGCAATTGAAGCAGAAGGATCCAGAGTATTCAGGGAAAGAAATGAATAGCTCAAAACGATGGGCTAGCAGAGAAAAGCTTTGCAGTAGCACATGGCAAGACTATTAGGACTATTAAGAAAGAATTAGCATCACCTCACTGAGCCATTAGCATTTCCCTGTAAATGTTACAAAGAAATGGTATAAACTTTGAATTTTAAGGATGGCCTGAAGTTAGCAATTGGTGAGCAGTGTAGTGCTGTCTTTGTTCTGGAATCTGTCTCACCAGGCTCTGGAGGGGTCACTTCACAGCCACCTGTTTCCTGTTTCATGAAGATGAACTCCACTGCAATCTGCTTTGTGCAGCTGCCTTGGTCATGATGAAATCATGAGCTGCACTAAAGGACAGTTATAGGCATGAAAAATGTAGATGCTCCTTGGTTTGTACGCTTTTCTGTGTTTATCTGAAAGCAAGCAGCTTCCATAAATGCTTGCAAAGCACGTACTGTGCTGACCTCTGCCAGAATATGTGCGTGGGTCAGCATTACCTATTGGGCGATAGTTCCTTAAAAATGCCTGAAATTTCTATAGCTCTGCAAACACACAGAGTGAACCAGAATGATTTGTTAACTAATGCAGTGGTTTGGAAAAGCACTAGCTCTTCCTTTGTCCCACATTTTTTTTGTTCCTTTCCCTCCTAAAGGATGTTTCCAGGTCACAATGACCCTGTCCTTCTGTCATTGAAATCTTCACCAAAACTGCTGTTGTATTGGCATTGGTGGCTGCAAGACTAGGTCACCCTTGCATGATGCTAGATTGAGGACTTGATTTTAATACAGTGAACAGGTGCAGATCCCTAGCTTAATTTTGAAGTTGAGAGAACAGCGATTTGAGCACTGTGGTAGACAGTTGTTTAGAAAATAGTATCCTTAGTCTTTTTTCCACGTTTCAAGACTTTGCCTCAGGCTCCCTTGCAAGAGTAACAGTTGTGCTTTGATTATTTATGTTCCCTGAATGAGACATCTTGTTCTCATTTGTACTGGCGACAGAAACTTCATTGATACTATATTACAGCAGTAAATGCAGAGATTTTTTGCTTGGTTCGTTTTGCTAGTTTGAAACAGAACTAATGGGTAAAAAATAAGGAGCTGACCCTTTCCTGACAGCTTTTCTCTGTGGATGCAGAGTTATCTAAACTAAAATAAGCATAGATTTAACTATGGGATTGACTAAGGAATGACTATACCTTCATATGTAACTACATCTCCCTATGTAACTACTTCTTTTTGGAGAGCTTTGTAGTCCTTATGGCTTTTTGAGACACATTTTGCTGTATGTTTCCATTTTAAAAAAAGGAAAGGATTTAGAATCAAGAGTCTTGATTGCAGACTGTTGTAAAATAAAAAAATCACCCTGAATTCTACTGTGCTATGAAGGCAACACATTGGCTTATCTTGTATATTTAAATGAGAGTTGTTGCTCCTTAGGAAATAGGCTGCCTTAACAGATAAATATATTTGGCTTGTACTTGTTTATACCTTTGGTGAGACCATGAAAGCAGAGACTGAGAAAGCATAACCTGTAGATTTTATTTTTATTTAGATTTTTGTAATAATGAGTGCTCAGCTTTACAGAAAGTTCTTAAAATGTAATAACTTGCTTTTTTACTCCTGATAATAACACTGGAAGTTATTAGGACTCAGCACCATTCGGGATCAGGCCTTGAAAGACTTGCTTGGTGTAGATAAACATAATGAAATAACCATGGACATGTTGTGTGTTGGAATTCTGGAAGTCAACAAGCTTGAGTTGTTGGGAGCATTGGGAGTACCTGAGACCATGAGTCCTCAGTTACAGTCATCCTCTTACAAGTCTGAGGCAAACCAGACCACAAAGTATACTGTTGCCCATTCACCTGCCTGTTAAACATCAGCAAAGCATGTTGAAACATCCAAGATGAGCTGTAATTCCAGCAAGTGAAATAATACTAAGAGTGTGCTGCTTAGGATGTACTATAAGAAAGTAATAAACATGCATCTTTGCGCTGTGAAAAGCATGTTCAACCTTTATCAAAATCTGTGCTGATTGGATGATTCTGCTGCGATTTAAAGCAGCATGCTCAGAGGGCTTTCTGCATTTGACACTTGTTTTCCTTTCTTGTGTTACCGTTTTGTTTTTTTTGGTTTGTTGGTTGGTTGGTTTTTTTTTTTTGTTTGTTTTTTGTTTTTTTTTGCTTATTTAACCAGATTTATTTAAAGCAAACAATTCTATTTGCATCCAGTTCCCAGTGTGTATGGTCTTTCATTACCTCTGTTATGTTCAGCAGACACTGTGGCACTTCACTCTCCTAGGGATCAGACCTTTTCAGAGGTGAATAGTGGTGCACAAAAATGACAGCTGTTAGCATCAAATGTGCAGACAGTGCTATTAATGTAGTATGCTCATTGAAATGTAAAACACTAGAGGTTTTGATGGTACCAACCCTATGACGGGAGAAAAGCAATAACCTACTCCAATAATTGTCTTTTGCCATTGCAGTATTCAATTTTTAATGGTGCTGTCTTCATCCTCTAGCAAGGGTGTTTTCCTCAATGCCACTATTCGTAGGTGAGGCCCAAATTAAGTGAGGCACATACCTGCTTTGAGTTGGAAATGTTGAAACATTTCTGGAACTGTCTGGGAA